TGATTGTCTCGCTAACTTGACGTCAAGTTAGCGAAACAAATGATTTTTTTTTTCAAACTTGATTATTTATGGAAAAAAAAAGAACCGGCAAATTTTTGGTTTACACAACTAATTAGCGGCAAAAAAAACGGCAAATTTTCATCTACCTAATTTTCTACTGCTGACATATTTAGTGATGTTGTCTCGCTATCTTGACGTCAAGTTAGCAAAACACGTAATTAAGAAAAAACCAAAAGAGCGGCAAATTTTTTAATTCCACATTTAATTAGCGGCAAAAAAGCGGCAAATTCTGGGCATAACGGAAAATCGATTTTTCGAAGTTGTCTCGCTAAGTTGATAGACATGATTACTTGGTACCTATTGATTTTACAAAAAAATGTTTCAAATAAAAGATGTGCAACATTCGAGGCAACATTAGTTGATCTACAATGTTTATCTAAAGAATTTTTTGATTAAGGGCCGTCTGTGATCATAAGGGCCGTTTGAAATTTATAATGAAAATAAAAAATTTTAACCTAAGGGAAGTGTCCCCCTCTGAATGGGGGTGAGTAACAGAAAATTACCCCTATTGAAAAACAGCAGGAGGTGAGTAAAAACTTCATGAAGCAGAAACGTTGTACTTATGTGTTATAGAATTTTTTTCCATCTGTCAAATCAAAAATTCAATATGGCGTGGCAGCCAAGCAAGTTTGTTTCGAATGTGTGTTTTTATGCATATTTTAATTATTTTGCTTCGAGTTTCACTTGCAACTTTGATTTTGATCATTTAATACAATATTTTTGTTGACTAGCGGCCCAATTACAATATATTTGCATCTGCAAATTTGCAGTACTGCAAATATGGCCGACTTGCATTATGGTCTTTTTTTGCACGAACCAGCAAATTACAAAAAAAAAATCTGCAATTCCGTCATATTTATCGTTTAGATGCTACTGATTTACCAGTTTTAAATGTCAAAGTTGTGTAAGTGAATGCAAGGACCGAGGGGTGAACACATGAGGATTTATGGTGTACACACACAAGGATTTATGAGGATTTCCTGGGGATGTACAGGGAGATCTTTAAAAATCTTAGGATGTATGGTGATGTATAGGAATTACTTCGGATTTACCGGATTTACCAGGGATGTACCCAGGATGTAGTTGGATTTATAGGAAATACCAGGGATGTAGCGAGGATGTATTATAGCGTTTTCCATTTGCTGCACAGAGGTGCACTCAGTGCAATTTTCATATTCAAACAAACATTATGATTATCATGATTTTAGTATACCTATAAGTAACCTCTTAAAATTTTGGGTATTTGCATAACCTTGAGAGACATTGTATTTTTGATTTATATTTATACTGCACTAGTGTAGGTACGTTTTTGACAGCACCAGAAAAAATCTCGTGCTCAGTGAGTGCCGCACTGACACCGAAAGTTTTTGCAGCATTAGTAGCAGAAAAGGATCAGAGAATGACTCGTATAATATTGCCAAGGAACATGAACTCGAGTAGGAACTTCAATTACAAGTAAACAAATTTTATGCAGTATTCTACGATACGAGCTTGTATGTATGTAGGGAGTATTGAAAAAATAATAGGCGAAACTGTCAGAATAAAATTTTAAGGCAAAAGAAAAGTGAAAGTACCTTCTTTTGGCCGAAAGAGGCAGACAGTGCAGATGTCGATAAAGTTTTTTTTACGGCCCTGTATGTTTTACGCCTAATTCAGATGATAATCAAGATTTTCAGTTAACCAAAGATGAATAGGAAACTATCTCTTGCATATACAAAAAAAAAGCAACCTATGATTCCCGCCTAATTTACTTTGGTTATTTTTTTCCTAATTCAAATAGGATTTGAACTTTCATTTATTTCGATTTAGGTATGTAAGTATACCGATTCACTTTTGCGTTATGTTGTTTTTTTTTAGCAATCGTTACGGTTTTTGTATTTTATAAACATGGATAGCGTTATTAGACGTTTATGGAGAACTAAAAAGCGGATCATTTTGAAAATTTGGCAACCAGGATAAACGACCATAACCTACACTTAAAAATATTTTTGTTTATGCGGTGTTGCTGCTTTTACTCTAAACCAGTGGCAACATCGCTATTTTAAATGGAACACCCTGTATGTGATTGCATATTTGGATTCTACGTAAAATTCTGAGCAGATTTCATGTAATATACCCTATACCCAAGAATCGTATACCTAAGTTCAATTGTTTTAAAAATATTGACTTTTGTCTCTAAAATTAACCGTTCAGGTTTTACAGCCTGTCAAAGTTGCAGAAATTCAATTTTTAACTGTCAACATTTCCAAAACAGTTGATTTTAGGTATAGGGTATATCCTCGGGTATATCACATGATAAAATCTGCTCAGAATTTTACGTAGAATCCAAATATGCAATCACATACAGGGTGTTCCATTTAAAATAGCGATGTTGCCACTGGTTTAGAGTAGATGCGGCAACACCGCATAAACAAAAATATTTTTAAAGTGTAGGTTATGGTCGTTTATCCCGGTTGACAAATTTTTGAAATGATCTGTTTTTTAGTTCTCCATAAAAGTCTAATACGCCATCCACTGTGGGACACCTTGTATTGTGTAGAAATGTGAATAAAATAACATATAAGACTTCACACCAATAGAGAATTTATGTCATTCCAGTTTATTATTTGACAATAATCCACCTAATTTCAGGGTTTTTACAGATATAATTAACCTGGGGATGTTATTGTTTCATAGCCCTAGGGCATTATCAACAATTAAAAAGCCAGTTGTGTACCGGTTTCACACTGGTCAAATTGCTTCCAGGAATTTAACCTTTATTTTGGAAGAAACTTGACAAAAATGGCAAAATTTCAATTAAAAAATGTAACAGGTAAAATTCAAATAATTTAAATTTAGATAGGTACGAAATAAGAAAAATAGTAAAACATAAAACGTTGAAGTCACCACGGGCAATATGAACTAAAGGGTCGATGTACACCCCTCGGGCCAAATGCCCTTGGCTTGTACTCTATCGAACCTCGGGGACTTATTTGGCTCATATTGCCCTTGGTATCTTAATAACTATAATGTTTTTAACGAAATATGCCTTATTTATGTACAGGAATATTATTATTAGGTGATAATAATCATAATAACAATAAAGGATTTACTGGGATGTAGGCAATTTATCAAGGAATTACTAGGATATGCAAGGATTTACCAAGGAATTACTATGATGTACTAGGATTTATTGGGATGTAGTAGGATTTCCTAAGGATTTCTAAGAACCGGGGGAATACTTAGGTGATTTACTCAAAAAAGGGATGTAGGTGTACACTTTTTGCCAAATGTGTTCACCCACTGACAGGACCGTTTCACCATGTGCAAATTTGCAGGCGACTTGCAAATGCATTCTGCTTCTGTAATATGAAAAGTCAGACTTGCAGGTCCTGCATTTGTATCTTGGTGTTGCAGAAACTAGATATTATTTTTCTATGTTTTTGGGCCCATGTGTGGCCTCCACGCCATCTTGAATGTCACATGGTTTGGATTGCCTAATTTTATATTTTGTTTATTTGTATTTCCATCAAAAGTGGCCCAAAAATTTCAATTTAACCCTCCGTCACTCGCGCCTCATTTTTTTACGCCATCACTCGCGAGTTAGATTTTATCTAACATCCATTTCTTTGCAATAAAACTATTATTTTTCAAACAGAGGTTTGGTATATTGATTAAATTGATTTTTAATAATTTTATATAATTGTTGTTTTAATAAAAACACCAAAATACAACTTGAAAATCAATCAAAATTGATCAAAATTAACAAAATTTCAACATACGCCGTCACTCGCGTCGTTAGATTGTTTCTAACATTCACCCACTCCTGTGTTAGATTTTTTCTAACAATATGTCGTTTTGGCACGAAAACAGAAAAATCGCCCCTATCGACTATACATGCGTGTAGTAGGTTGGGTCATAAAAGCATTCCTGGATACACAGCAAAAATAATGAAAAATTGTAGAAATTATGACAAATTTTTAAAAAATGTTAGATTTTTTCTAACGATGCGAGCGATGGAGGGTTAAATATCAAATTTGTTATTAATCGCCACTAATATGGAAAAGAAACGGACTTCTAAAACACAATATAAAATTTATATGAAGTTTTAACGCGAAAACATTCTGTTAACAGAAAAATTGCATTCTAGCAGCGACCCAGGGACCCAGCGACCCTGAAGATCTAGAAGTCCTATAACTTCTCTTCTTTTGATAGAAATTTTTATTTTTGGCCTTGCCTTGGTTCATGTAATTTATGTTTTTGACATTCATTCGCACAGCTTCTTGGGGTCCGTTTTGTACTCGGTTTTGTACCTGATGCCCAGGTATTTTATTGACAGATAAATATTCCAAGGAACTCGGTTTTAATTAGGAAGATTAAAGGAAATTGAAATAAATTAAAATTCATAAAATTTAACTCTGAAACAGGTACAAATAACACACATTTATATGGAGGCAATATTTGTTTACATTTCGGGCATCATCGCCATTTTGAATTGACAGCTGATTCAAATCACCTAATTTAGCTTAATGTGGAATGTCGATGCATTTTCAAACTTAAATAGCGTAGAAACAGCTGAACCAAATATCAACATTATCAACATATATGGTATATTTGGGATCAGAAGAAAAAATGAATTATTCTAGCAAAAAATATACAGGGTGTTCCATTTAAGAAAAGTGCAAGTGTTTGTCATTATTACAGTTGGCACCTGTCATTTGCAGAAGCCGCACTCAAAAAAACATCTAACAAAATTGAATTGAGATTATAAAACAAAATAACAGAATACCTACAATTTTATTATTGTTTTTCTGTATGTTTACTTTTTATTATGGTTAGGAGCTCCAAACAATAATAACCTGAATTATTGAAAAACATTATATTTAGGTAAAAAAAACCTCACGCTGAAAGGCACGTTTTCGAATAAAATAGCATGAATGTATTCTAGCCCTTTAACTTACCTTTACGTTTAAATCTGAAATATAAAAAGCACTTCTATTTTCCAAAATCAGCTGTGTTGTGTTTGTGTACCTTCCAAAGGCAAGTCCTCGAGACACAACAGTTTCCTTAAAATATGGCAACCTAGCGACTAGCTGGGAGAATTTATCGATTTCTAAAATTTCACTTTGTCCCAGTCCCAGCAATGAATGAAAACCTTAAAAACGAAATGACACAGAATCGCACTTAATTCTCCACTATTCCATCACTTTACTAGAAGATCAATTCCAAAAAAAATTAAAAGAAAAACAGAGGTTTTTGATCAATATTGTCACATATCAGCTCATTCCACTGTATCTACTTTTTAAATAATAACGATGTCGAAAATTTTATTAGGAAAAATGTAAGAGAAGCGACGACAAAACATTTAATTTATATCGATACCAGTTTTCAGTTTGATAACAAGCAGTGTAAACGTTTCGTTCTGAAACAAAACAATAGTCATAAAACTCGGGAACTAATTTTCAAGGAGCCACATTAACGATCCCGCGCCTTCAATCGCTTTTAACATACTGATTCGGATCCGAGATCCGATTCTGCACGAGTTCGTGAGAACAGTTTTACAATTTCCCAAGGCTTATGCGTTTTACAGCGTTGCCACTTGCCACTGTGGACTTTTCAAATGGAATACAAATTGGGTACAAATTAAATTGGTTTCCTGACTTTTTTTTGCTTGAAAGCCAAGAGGTTTCCATTTGTACCTCTTCGTTAAAAAAAGGGGGTTTTATACGGAAGCCCGGTCGTGTAATCTGCCTTCCGAGTTCTTAGTTCATAGTTCTGACGTCACAACTCGGAATTTCTGATTTACTACGTCATAACTCGGAATTTCTGAGTTTCTACGTCATAACTCGAAAATGCTCATTTATTGCTAGTTTGTTGAAAATTGACAATATGTAGTACGAGTATAAGTAGTCATATCGTATCCTCTCATTCTGACATGACATTGGAACCCGTATATAGGTCTGTTGCGCTCGCACTCCTATTGAGCATCATCATGACTAATATGACTATTATAGTCGTCTGGCAGACACTCGCAACCGCCAGAATAGGCTGTTTACATATACTTTTAAAATCAATAAAAGAATATTCCCTCAAAATTTAGGCCTTGTGGAAGCAGGTTATACCTAAATGATTGACCCTATAACAACTTTGCTAGCGTCACACTTAAGGGATTAGGACGCAACCACGAGATGCCTGCCAGAACGTTACTTTCTTAATTGACCGATAATAAAACATTATTTAAAAAATTTCTAGCTTTGTGGGAAACGGGTTAGTCGGACGAACAGCTTGCTCTCCTACTACTAGTTATATCTTTCTCTTTCAATATTTTTTGTGTGTGAATCTGTGAAAACTGATTTAGGGACAGAAAATATGTGTGTTGCTCTATCACAAACCTACTTTTGATATTTTCACGCCGATACCACAGTTTATACCGTACCGATACAGTTGTACAACTCTCCATATTTTTTGAAGCCAAATTCTCCAACCAATAGGAGCATTTTGTCCCATATCTTGCGCATGCGCTCAATGAGTGTACAAATCTCTCAAATTGAAAAAGCAGTTCGGCATGTACATGCCTCTTTCCAATCCTGCACGCAAAAAAGAGATAGAGATAGCTTGGGTGAGAACCCGCGAGAAATAACTGTCAAACGAGACACGCAACAGGATTGTATTACAAAAAAAGAAGAGAAGTCTTTTGACTGAAATTATTCAGGAAATTGAAAAGTAACCGGAAAATTCATCAATTTGAAATTCGGCTTAAGAGTGTCTTGCTTTCCGTGTTATTCGCGATTTTTGTGTACTTGACTGTTTTATCGTTTATATATTGTGTATTATCATGGTTGCTTCCTGTTTTGTCTGTAAAAACAACATTAGAACTAGCCCAGGCCCAGGATATTTTAGTTTCCCGAACGATGAACCACTGTAAGTATTTATATTTACATATTTCATATTAGGTTTACATTCACATAATCTTTGTTTATTATTATATGATCCCGTTATATTCTCAATGTTAATCCACAAAAAATCCTAGTCCGACTCTGTCCACGGCCCAGGATTCGTTGTTTCCGATCAATAATGCGCAAGCGCGAAATATAGGGACATAGAATTTGGCTTCAAAAAAATCAATGGTTTGTCAACGGAGTTGAACAACTGTATCGGTACGGTATAAACTGTGCCGATACACTTTTACGCCAAAAAAGCTTTATACAAGGCAAGGATCAATTATTTTAAAGATCTGACAGACAGAGGACACAGGCCTCTAAAATGATGATTATCTGCTTCATGTAGAATGTTTAAGGTTTTGCTAAGCATTTTTTTTTTTTTTGTTAAAAATTACATCGCAAATGCAAATAAAAACAATCCAACCGGACACCTAATTTTTAGGTTACCATTTACAATAACATCGATAACGAACTTCTTACGTAGTAAATCAGAAATTCCGAGTTATGACGTAGTAAATCAGAAATTCCGAGTTGTGACGTCAGAACTATGAACTAAGAACTCGGAAGACAGATTGCACGACCGGGTTTCCGTAGTTTTACATGCTGCAAGAGTACCTACCTGCAAATCGGTGCAAGTTGCAAGAGATCTTGCAAAAGGCATGCGCAGTTGAAACCCAGCTGATTGCAAGTAGCAAGACTGCACTTGCAACTTATCAGTTAAGTTACAGCTTGCAATTCTATCTGCAATATGCAAGAAACTTGAACGAGGGCATGCGCAGAAGTGAGTCAGCTGATTGATTTCTGCAAGATTCTTGAAACTTGAATGGCATTGCATGCGATCTGTTTGGTGCCATTTTTCTTGAAGGTTTTCGTGCAAGCTTGCGAAATTTTAGCAATTATGATGCTCAAAGTTGCTGCTATTGCTTTCTTCTTTTTATATCGACTCATAATCACTTTTTTTATTTTTGGAAAATGCAAACATCAACAACACAACATTAAAAACAAAAAAGTATGGTTAAGGTTAGAGAAGGAAACAAGTCAAATTGCAAGGTGTAAAACGATGTGCAAGAAATCTTGAATGCAATTTTTTTGCATGCAAGAAATTGCATTCAAGTTTTCTTGCAGCTTGCAATTCTATCTGCAATATGCAAGAAACTTGAACGAAGGCATGCGCAGAAGTGAGTCAGCTGATTGATTTCTGCAAGATTCTTGAAACTTGAATGGTATTGCATGCAATCGGTTTGGTGCCATTTTTCTTGAAGGTTTTCGTGCAAGCTGGGGAATTTTTAGCAATTATGATGCTTAAAGTTGCTGCTTTTGCTTTTGTCTTTTTATATCGACTTATAATCAACAACACAAAATTGAAAACAAGAAAGTATGGTTAAGGTTAGAGAAGGAAACAAGTCAAATTGCATAAAACGACGTGCAAGAAATCTTGAATGCGATTTTTTTGCATGCAAAAAATTGCATTCAAGTTTTCTTGCAAGCTGTAGAACGGTCTTTATGTTCGATATTTCAGTAAGTGCAAGACTCTGCAAGATTAGTTTTGGGGGCAAATTTGGTAATTTTTGGACTGCCAACTTTTAATAAAAGTTACTACCACTTTTAAAATTATGTTTATAGATTTATAGATTAATGAGAATAGGTACCTAATAAGGTACCTATGTCAGAGCCGAGTTTGAATTATTTTAAAATACCGTAAAACGGGGATACTTTATGACAGGTTTTGAGGTTTTTTGAAATTTGCAAACATTTCTTTGCCACATAAAATTAAAAAAAAAAAAACACTATGTATTCTTCTTCTTCTGTTCTTTCGCTACAAAATGGCAATTCTAGAAAACTGAAAAAATAATAATAATTCAGCTTTTTTTAAACTTGAAAGTGTCCCAATTTTACCCCGTGATGCGGGGTAGCTTTGTAACAGTGCGTTTTTACAATGAAAACATAATGTAACCCCGGCATTTTTAGTCTGAAACGATAGGAAATGTCAATAAATATTTGCTTGATAATTTTCTGATATTAAAAACACGGGTATATAATAGCTTTGTTTTACATCGATTGAAGGCGATTAACCGGTCGGTCATAGTTGACAGATAACCAATGAAGCAAACGTCATTTGTCAACCAATTGGTAATACATGACGTTAAATGCATTGTTTATCTGTCAATATAACCGAGTGGTTAATCGCCTTTAATTGATTTTGGTTTCGTAATTTGGAACGCTTCCGGGATTGCGCAGAACTGCTTGCGCACAAAAAATAATAGAGGACTGTTCTAATACTAGTTTGGAACCGATTCGGAACCAAAAAAACCAAAACACAAAATTCTAAAACAGTTCCTCCTTCAGTGCAAGAACTGAGAAAACCGTTCTAGAACAATCCCAGAATTGTTCTTAAAAATAAGTTCTAGATAAAGAAGCTGTGGCAAAACACTGTCAACACAGTTCGATTACGATTCTGAAAAAACGAAAACGCGTTTTATAATATGCGCATGTGCAGAATGATATCGAACTAGTTCTGAGTGAAACCAAAACAAAGCTACTGATTTAGACATTTTGAACTTTTATAATAGGTTTGTTTCTGCAGAAATCACAAACCAGTCAGAGTGAATTTCATTGGTTGAAACTAGTTTGCTGACTGTTTTCAACTCTGCTGTGATTTCTGCAGAAACAGACCATATATATCATGCGATATAATATATATCCTCTTCATATTCAGCCAGAAATTGGGATGTGAACTCCACCAATAGGAAGTCGTCCACATTAGAAGATGTATCCATCCTTTTAGGTTCAATTAAAAATTCTTCCATACTGATTACATGTCACAAAGTTGCCCCGGAAGGTTACTCTGTTTTGTTTATTGTTAAAAAAAAAAATGTGTTAAATTGATAAATCGTAAGCGTATTTACGTAGATATCCCGACAAGTAGCCAATCAATTGGAAATTCTTAATATTGTTGAAAAAAAATGTGTTAGGTTGATAAATCGTAAGCGTATTTACGTAGATATCCCGACAAGTAGTCAAGCAATTGGAAATTCTTACGAATTGTTCTGAGGAGTGTTCAAATTCGGATGTACAGTAGAAAGTTTTTGGGGTTTCGAAAAAGTTGCAAAAACGAGGTGCTCCCTTAGAATCAGGCTGCTAGTTACCAAGGGAGCGTACCAGCTTGCCGAGCGGCTCCTTGTCACAAAGTATCTCCGTTTTACGGTACAGATTATTTATTTATTTAATTGTACTGAAAATAAACTACTTCTATAGGTACAGTCGTGAGCATTAAAAATGGGACACCCGATTTTTCCTTTTGTTAAACGGGCTCACCAGCTACACCGTTGGCAATGACAAGGATTGCCATATTTGACAAAAAATCTGTTGTAGAGAAGAGACTGATTTACCAGAATAGGGAAAAATGACAGTACCTGCCAGTCGAATGTCTCACTTTTACGACTAGGTACCTCGGTAGGTACCTACGTTTCATAGGAAAATATAATGACATTGGGTAGGCACCTATATGACATTGTGTTTGAATCAATTTTAATTTTCAATAGGCAGGTAGAATTTATTTAA